AGAGATAAGGGCATAGTCCTGTTCTGTGGTAGAAAGCATCTTACCTGTGTGCAAAAAGAGCAATCACTGTGAGAGCTGCTGATGTCTGTGGACTCGCTAAGTGTGACATGCTGTGCCTGAAAAAAATGCAGCAAATTATCATATATCCATTGCCCAGTCCTTCACTGAAGGGTTGAAATCCCTTGTCCTCTTCTCCCTGAGGTGCCCTCCTTACCATAGACTGAGACTCCTGCCTGCCTGATTGCAACAGCAGTGGATTGATAAGGTCACCAGGTTAAAACCCAAGGCTTGAGCCGGTGCTTAACATACAGTGTCAATTTATATAGTCATTCTTTCTTTCTCTTTTCTTCTCCCTCAATTAGTATTTAAATATTCCAACTGAAGTGGAATACGTTGAAAGGAGCCATTAATGACCTGAATCCAGAATACTCTGTAACCTATTTATTGGAGTGTTCATCTGGGGAGTGGAACAGACAAATCAAAATCTACTGGGTCTCTCCTTTACAGCAAACTGTGCTGAGGCTTCTCACTTCCCAACTGAATTACACTGGCAACAATATTATTATTGGAGAGGGAACAATTTTTTTATTTTTTTTTTTCAGTAGCATGACTAACCCTCTATTTTTACTAAGTCCAGCTTTAAGATGGCTTTGCGCATTAAATATTTTACTGTATTATTTTTGTGCTATTGGCAGAATGAAGACTGTTATATATAAATTAACTATGAAACAACATAAATAGGGAAAATTACTACTTTAGATTTTAATGAATTTGAATGGGGTAGGGGTATTTTATGTTTTGGTTTGGGTTTCTTTTTGGTTTTGTTTTTTTTTCTTCTGGAGTAATGGAAGGTGTAGCTACTAAACTGTAAAATCAAGTGTCCATTCTTAACCATGGACTCCTATGCTTATTATTATGCCTTAAGGAGAGCTCAATTCATAGATGCAAAGGGTATCTTATCTAAGCTGCCAGGACTACAAGCTCACTCTGGACTCTAAAAGTCACACAGAGTTCTCCTCAAAGTTGTCACTAGTTGTCAAGGTTTATTTATAGCTACAAGACCTTATGAGTCTTCAGGTTGTATCCTAAGTGACAACTCTGAAACCAGAGGAACAGTAAGAATCTCAGAGTTTAAGCTGTTTGGAATTTAGCAAATCAATCTGTTGATGTAAAGGTGACATTTGTGACCTGACGGAGCAGTTCTGTGTGCATGAGAAATTGCGATGTGAATTCAGAAGTATATATTCCCAGAGTAATCTTTTTATAGATATGTATGTATAACTTTCTGAAGTTCCCATCCTCATTGAAAATCAATAGCAATCACAACCCAAAGTGCCAGGAGGCTCTCAGACATGCAGTGGTGGATTAAAATCGGATGGCTGAAATTTTAACAGCCTTCAGCTGCACCCTCCACTCCTCTGATGGATGTTGCCTCTCCCAAAGCAGAGATAACTGATCTGCCCATGAATCTCCTGATCCTCTGCAGTGTTCATCTGGATGACTTGGATTCTGGTTGGCTGTAATACAGACAGTGAAATTTGTCTTGAGAGAGAAAATGTGGATTGTGTTGAGGAAGAGAATGTCTATTATATGGGCATAAAAGATGTCTGGAGAAGTTCAGGAATCTGATGCTAACCTGTTGCTGAATGACCCCTGTCAATTGCAGATGTAAAACTCAATGGGCTCCATCAGGTGATTTCAAAGCAACAAAAATGCCTGTCTTTCTCATTCCCCCACTGGGCACACAGTCACACTGACTTCTCTGGAGGGAGCACTGTTTAATTTTGGCACTTTTCTAAGAGATAGGAAAATTGCTGCTGGCTGAACTAGTGGAAACATTGCCCATTTGCAGATCCCCTCTTTCTCTACTGATCTAACTACATAAATAGCATCATTGCAGTTTTGGGGAGGAGGCAAGCACTAGCAGGAGATGGATGAAAATACACACAACACCTGAGCACTGCAAAGCAAGGAACAGGCAGAGAAAAACATCAGGATAGCACCATGGGTACTGCAATAAAATAATTGTTGTAGTGGGGAGGGCAATCACCTTGGTGTTATTGCATCTTTATTTTGGAGTCATGAAATTATGATTCTATCAATATGCAATCCACCCCACATGAGATTATGTAGTAGCAAACTGTATCTTCCTCAGGAGTCCTCAGATAAACTCCTCCAGCCAATTTTGTTTATATTAGTATCTGGGGACATAAAAGTCTAATTTCTATTTTCAGTGTTTTAGGACATCCTGCCTGGGTTCTTCCAGGCAGTTAAAAAATTGCTGGCCTGTAGATGATGCCTGCCGGTCCTATGAGGTTGTCTCTGATATTATAAAGCATCTATAACAACACTGGAAATCTTTCTTAGAAACCTGAATCATGCTGCAAGCACCTGCATTGGGAATGTCTAGCAACATAACAGCATTTTTCCTACCTTGGCTTGCAGTCAAATTCGTGTCAATAGCTGTACACACCCACTTCAATGAATGTAGTAATGGTGATGTTGTTGTATAATGTCCTGAGATTTTAAAGGGAAATCTGACTTGCCTGCATCAGCCACCAAAAACATGCCACAGAGAACCTTCTAGCATTTTTGAGCTTTGTCTCCTCAGCATTCCTCAGACTGATGATTTGTGGGGAAATTATTTTCTTCACCAAAGAAAGCACATAGCAGTCTGAATTTGAAACGTTAGGTCTACTAAATAGAAAGTAACTATTTTTTACACAGCAACAGACCTAGAGGAGCGATCCTCTGAATGGTAATTAAAAGTCTGTATCTATATACACACATAAAGTTTTAATTGCTTGTATTATAACTATGCAAATATCTGTCATTAGTATGTCCTTTGGAGACATGCTGTGGTCCTAATCAGGTTTGTCAAGATGAGACAGTACCTTTATATTCTCTCTTACACATCATAAACTCTGACTGATATACCCAAGGGAAAAAAAATGCATAATGTGTCATTTATGACTTGTTGCATGCACAAATTACTTGCACTTGTATGTAGTACGACAACAAAATGCTATTGATTTTGAATTTGACTTTAGGAAGCTGATCTTTATTGCTAGTTGTCACTTGGTAGATTTTTTCTCCTACTGTGAAATGTTTGATCTAAAATTTATGTTTGGAGAAATGGAGACAGTGATGGTTTGATAATATATATTTTTTTTAAGTGTATAAATTATATCCTAGCAGATAGACATTATTCATAAACACAATAAACATTCTACAAATACAACTAAATTTCAAATGAGTAACAAAAAACATGTAATATGCCAACTTTGCTCTGCTTATACAACACCACTTTAGCAGAGCAGCTTTCTGGGGCTTGAAGGAAGGTACTGATCAGTGTCAGGATGCTTGCAGAAGCAAGCTTGAAAAGTAAGGGCTAGGGGAAGTACACACAAATGCAATGCACTCTACATAACAATGAAAAAATGAAATGTATTTGTATGTGAGATACATGAAGATAATTTCAGTATCACTTTAGAACACTTTTCTCACTTTCTACAGGAAAAGGAACAAAACCAGTATTCATTGACATAGGGGTTGGAAGACTTCTAAAGCCTTGTGGTTTTTTTTTAGGCATGAATACATGTATCTCTGGGTAATATTAAGGTTCTAAACATTTCTTCATTTATTTCTTTAAGAATACCAATATAACAATATTCAAATAGAGGCTAAATACATGTTGTGATGCCAAATATCTGAAAGCCATCAACAGCCTTGCACTTGAGCTCTACTGATTATTTCCAAACGCGTATTTCCCATTTTCTATGTTAAAATTGAAAGTAAATATTATTTTATTTTTATAGAGCAGCTTTGTCCCTTTCCTTACCTCTGTCATCCCAGAAAATTAGCAGCCTTAGAAGCAGTATTAGCTGTCACAGAAGATAGGTGATCTCAGGGTAAGAAGTGAAGGTATAAGCAAACCAGGCATCACCTAACTCCTTGGAATTTCAAATCTCTGTGTGGACAAAGGTCCCTGAAATCACTGACATTAGTTTAGGAGACTTTTTTTTAATGAAACAGAGTAGTTTGAGAACATTCAAATGTGGTCATGTGTCATTTACTATAGTTTTGATTTGTGTTCAGAATGAACATTTCTTAATACCCCAGAAAGAGGTAGATTAAGTCATTACTGTTAACTGTCTACTAAACAGTTAATGTGTGACAATGAGTTTTTTAGCTAATGTGTGTACTCACCATTCTACCAGCCTTCTAGTACCAAACCTATGCTTTCTGGAATTGAGCCTGCTTCGGCACTGTAACTCTTGTTCATTAGGAGATTATTTAATTAAGTGAAAAATACCACAAACACAGGTATTTAAAAATCAGCTACAAACCTCTTTGCAACTTGTAAGGATGCTGGAAATGTAGATAATTTTTCTTTGTGTTGGATGAAAAGGAGTATATACACTCCTATTGCCATTGATACGTGTCCTTGCCAGCAGAATTTCAGCCAAACCTTGAGTAGCATAGACACATTAGTTCCATTACAGGCAATGGAAGTACACTTAATCACATCACCTGAAAATCTGGCCTACAGCCCATAACAAGACAGTACTTTAGAGAATAACAATATTTTATGCTTTCATCAATCACTCTCCTATGTCTGTAGCTATTAGTGGCAGACTAAAAAACATAATATTGTAATTAGAAAGGCTTGTTATGGCTATTTCACCATGCTTGCTCCCAAATCAACTTTACTAGGAGTGTCCCCAGTTCAAGAAAAACTCCTAGGAGGCTGTGGGAAATGGTTATTCTTCCTCCCCACATAATTCTAAGCAAAATGCCTTTCAAGTCAGCAAAGAGGCCTTCTGCTGATTATACCCAGCTAACGGACCAAAAAGAACCTGTCTTTAATAATTAAAAGTTTTCATTTATTTAAAATATTTGGATTACAGAGTGATTTCAAAACAATATTCATAGTCTTCATTTTAAGTTCCAAGCATTGACATTGTATTTCTTCTCCTTTGACTATTTGCCTAGGACATATGTCTACAACCACAACAATAATAGATGGTAAGAACGGATCTGTTCCCTCATCATCCATGAAAGTTGGCAAGAAATCAGTTACAGAAGACCTCGTGACAACATTCAGCTCACCAGCAGCATGGATTCTTGTTGTTGCACTGATTGTTACCTGGTCAGCGGTAGCTATTGTAGTGTTTGACTTGGTGGATTACAAAAACCTTGCAGGTAAAATTCAGGATATTCTGTTTGACATCTCATGTATTTAAACTAAAATATTTATTAAAAAGTGTGTATTATGCAAATCCGCATGTCTCTCCCCTTCTTGGAGACAGCACAGTCTGCTGAGTTTACCAAGCTAGGAAATATTGTGACAACTGTTGGGACATATTATTTTATGTTTCAAACACCTTTATGATTTAGATCTCTCAATTCTGCAACCCATCCATGTCCTGGGAAATGTGTGTGTTGTCAGTAATTTAATATGCATATGAGCATATATAGTCATAGTGCTTACATGGTTCAATGAAAAGAAAAATGCAAAAGATACTTTCTAAACATGCTGACTCTTAATTAATCTTCAAAAATCGTAACTACAGATGACCACATCTCGAGGGCAAAGATGAAGATGAAGTGGGTGGTATAAGGACTGTGATGGTGGTGGAGGAAGGGGAGGAAAGGAATGGGGAATAGAAATTACCTCACTGATATTTGATTTTTATGTCTTGTATCTGGCAATGATATATAATGAAAGATAAAATAAATTAAGTACTATTTTTGCAAAGGGTGACCAGCATCCAGAGAGCCATTTCAATAAAACTTTTGTGAGTTGAACAGCCTGTAACAACTGGGAAATATGTATGTGAAACAGAAAACAAATTATTTGGGTCCTTTTGTTTCTTAAATAAGAACTCCATCTCTAAATTGATCACATCTGCCATAATAATTTACTAGGAAAGGAAATTCGGACTTCTACCTTTTAATTCAAAACAAATTGAGTGGATGTTTCAGAGTTAATTTCCTGGACTTTATTAGTTTACTGATAAATCTATAAATTTTTGTTCTGCTATATATCAATATTGACCTCCAGATTTACTCAAAAACTTTGGAGACATAAATAGCTCTTTGAAGACAATTATCAATTATGGATTAATGAGTGACATAGAAGCTTGAAATGTGGAGAAAGTGTGTGACAAACCTCTCTCAAATTTATTTATTTTTTGCTTTTCATCTGCCTTTGTTTTCACAAGGAAGTCATTTGAGTCTCAACAAAACATAATTATTGTTGAGTGATCCTCCCAAAACAGGCAACAGATTTTAATTTGGACACCACACATTTACTGCTACAATGTAGATATACACCAAGAGGGAGAAACGATCATATTCTGTTTTTGATTTTCCATATTAATAATCAATCAATCAATCAATCAGTCATGTTCCTAATATGTTTTCAATGAGCAGTCAAGAAGCAGAGTATAACTCTTAAACTCTTAAACTAAGCAATTCCTGAGCTGGCTGTCAGCTCACACAAGCTCAGAGTAATGCTAAGCAATGAGAATCTGTGTTCATACTGGACACGGAAGGAAATTTTCTAAGCTGATGGAAATCTGATGTTCATGTTGTATTGGTTAAATGAGCTAAAGTCCCACAAGTTCTAATGGAAACTGACATTTTCAGACCAGACTGTAAAAATAAATGTAAAATTTAATCTGCAGTGTAAGTCCGTATTTTGTTGAGATCTCTTGAGAGAAGATTGTTCAGTATTTTGAGTTCATGAGTTGGTTTATCATCCTTCCCAAAGATATTGCTATTCCTGAGTGTCTGTTTCTAAGTGATTAATTAAGGCAATATTTAACTCGAGGTTTAACAGTGAAATGTCAAGAGAAGGAGCTGCTGTGCTACTTCAGACAAAGGTTTACTATATTATTGTCTTTATTTACACAAATATAACAATGGCTACACAGCTCTTATCTTGGGTTTCAACTCCTGAATCCCTAACTCATTCTGTCTTTTTATAACAGAATGATTTGCACCCTCTGAAAGTTTGACCTATTGTCTCCAGTGGAGATGATGCCATCTTTTTGTACAGAAAGTAGAATCTGGGGCATACTTTTGACTCTTTAACTCTAAAATCCAGTGATATTTTCTCTCGGGTTTGACATTGTTCTCTGAACAACCAGACCTGAAAAAAAAAGGAGAATACTTATCAGGACTGTAAGTTTATTTTTGCCAGCGTGATTAAAATTAATCTCCCAGTATTCAAAAGTAAATGAAGAATACCAGAGAAATTATAAAACACAGACTATTGAGTGTATTTTTCTTTAAATGACACTTGCCTTTTCAAGTCAGTGTGTTAAATTTATTTCCCATTTCTTTACCTGAAGTTCCATGAAGTTGAAGTTTAGGAAGTACACATAGCACAGGAATGAAACAAGCTGAGAGAGGTGAACTTGGTTAGTCTAAAAAAAAGAAGTAGTGGGGTGACCTAGGAGCAGCCTGCAGCTTTTGGAAGGGCAGTTACAAAGGTGACAGAGGACAAACAGTTACCAAGATGATATCCTTGTTGTATCAGGTTGTATAACAAAGGGGATGTAGCCAGAAAATGCTACCCAAAAGGTTTCTGTTGATCGCTGAGAGGGAGGGAAACCTTTACCAGGAGAGCAGTGCAGCACTGAAACAGGTTAGGGGAGTGTTTAGAGAGGCTGTGGATTCTCCATCCTTGGTAGTGTTCAAGACTTGGTCAGCTGGCCATCACTGGCTGGATCTAGTGTTAGAAACAGTCTCTCACTGAGAAGAATTGCACTAGATGAACTGCAGAGATACCTACTGATCAACATCTACATGATTGTAAGATTTCTTTAAAATGTTTGTTAGAACATGAGGTATTTAGAAAGCATCCAGCCAGAGATCTCAGTGGAGACACAAAGTTAGCTAGGGGGCGATTCTCCAGCCTTGTATGCGGGTGGATCTGTGACCTTTTTAGTCAGGATTTCATGCATTCATATAGTTAATCTTGTTTTTTTTTTATGCAGTTGTTTCGTAGTGATTCCTAGTGGGATGGTTTAAAAGCATACTGTGCACATTTGCAGAGCCAGCCCTTTGCCAGATTATGGGAACCAAGGACCTGAACTGAGAGAACTCTGACAGAGCTGGAGCAAGTGGCATACACCTCCACACAGGGGCTGGCTCTCACTTACAGGCTTCCACTGGAGATGTCCACTACATTTCTGTGCCAGAAATCTCCTTAGCAGAGCTGTTCATAGTGACTGCACTACACAGGACTGGCTGCAGCAGAAAACAGGAGCTGGTTGACTTAATAATCAAGACTGAGAACTGAGTGGCTGAGGAGTATACACAGATTTGTCCCTTCTGATTACACTACAGAACTGCTGGCCTCTGGCCAGTAAAGGAAGTATTATTTATTACGAGTTTCCTAGATTACAGAGATTCATGGAGCTCAGTAGGAAACCAACACATCAGCAGACAAGGAATTATTTTAGATTTGAACTCAAATATTATTTTCTTATTTCAACAAAGACAGATAATTCCAAAAAGACATAAACTGTTAGTATATATATTTTAGCTCTTATGTATTCTTTTAATTTATCAGTATAAACTTTGCATTGCTTATGTGATTAGGGTGCCAACTACTAGATTTTGCTTCTTGATTACTGTGGTTTCATGCTCGTTTAGAAGCAAAGGATAGAGTTTGGGAATTTCAACAATTTATATAAAATGAAATTTGTCCCAGAAATAACTATAAGAAAATGAGGTGTTTAGTTTCATCTTAAAATAGATGTGGTTTGGGGGCACCCCCTCTTTTTAGCATTTGAAAAGGAGCCTGTAGAACTGACGGAGGCTAATGGAGGATAACATTTTTGGTTTGGGTAGCTGAAGTTAGATTGGGGGTGATGGTGGACAAGAAGCTCAACAAGAGCCAGCAGTGTGCTTGCAGCCCAGAAAGCCAACTGTGTCTGAGTCTGCATCTAAAGAAGCATGGCCAGAAGGTCAAGGGAGTTGATTTTCCCCCTCTTCTCAGCTCCTTTGAGATCCCATCTGGAGTACTGTGTCCAGTTCTGGAGTCTCCAACACAGAAAGGACATGGACCTATTGGAGACAGTCCAGAGAAGGGCCATGAAGATGATGAGAGGGCTGGACCACCTCTCCTACAAGGGCAGCCTGAGAGAGTTACAGTTGTTCAGCCTGGAGGAGAGAAGGCTATAGGGAGACCTTCATAGTGACCTTCCAGTAACTGAAGGGGGCCTACAGGAAAGCTGGGGAGGGACTTTTTTATAATATATATGTATATATATATATATATATAATCATATAATCTATGATCTAAGATCTTTTATTACATTAATTCAAACTCCACTCATATAAAGATTTAAGACATGTTTTGTGTAATTTACACATCCAGAACATGAGAACTGTAAATTCTACAGTACTGTATAGTATTCAGGAGGTGCTGGTTATAATAAAAAAAATATTGCAGAAGGACCCTCTGTTACAGGTTGCATGTGTAAAGCTGTGTCTCCTTGGTGGCTATGTGTCAGTTTGTTCAGAATTTTGTTTCAAACAAAGACGGGATCTGCAAGGCAGCTTTGGTGGTGGATTTTAAGGAAAACATGAGACAAGAATTAGAACAGTGCTGAAAGATTCACTCATGCCCAGAAGAAGGAAATTAAATTTTGCAGTGTTTCGCTGTAGTGTGTTATGCTCAGTCCTTTGAGGAAAGGAATGAAAGCTTGCATTCCTGTCATGGTGGATTGTACAACTCTAAACATGACTGAAATATTTCTATTGTGGTATGAAGGTGACATGCATTACAAAAGCCTGAGATAAGAAACTATGAAACTCGTGCAGTACGTAGTGTGTACGAATATACAAAAAAGTAGCATAGTAGCACTGGAAGCCGTCTTACACGTTTTCAGTGCTTTCAGAAATGCAGAAAACAATTCATTTTGATTTGATGTGTGCTTTGCAACAGGTTGTTGTTACTGCCATCCTTTGGGTTAGTATATACACCTTGTTAATTGGCTTCATAATACATTAATGTATTTCACGCGTTTCTTGTACACATAACTGGATGATATATTTTAATTGGTAAATGTAACTAAATAATTCAAGATTATTTTAGTCCTAAAGATTGATTGCCCAGGAATCCTCATTCTTTAATGTGCTAATAAAGTGTTCAGAATTCCCTGCCATCTCTGTGACCAATTAGA